TTTATTGAAAAAAGACATTTGCTATCAATTCACAGGCCGCATTGTTCAGACAAACTAGGGAGTTTTGAACAATTAACTGTTTCTAAACAAAAGTGCGAAAATGCGGTTTTAGACATCTGTGCCAATGGGAGAGCTGTGTCGGCAAATCAGGACATTTCCGAATGCTTCATCTCATACAGAATGGCTTGAGGAGAAATTTTGTTTTTTGGGTCGTTTGAAGGCTGATTACGGGCCAAGTGCTTACAAAATCCGCTATTAAACGGCTTTTATGAGCGTATGAATTTTCGCGGGTTATCCGGAGTTGATCTGGGTTTTGAAATGACATACTGGAAATTCCTAGTGCTGGCTGCTCATTTCTTTTCAAAGTTAATCTGTTTTTGAGTATGAGTTTACGCAATCACCCTGAACGACTCATGAAGTCTAGTTACAGACCTCAGCACTTTTGGTGATTTTTTTTTAGTGCAATTACTTATTCTTACCAATCGTTTGTGTGGTGCCATTCTTGATCCTGGCAATCGGGGTGGACGATGTGTTTATCTTCTTGTACTGCTATCATCGTACCGATTCGCGCCTTCCGGTTGAAGAACGGATTGCAAAAATGCTTGCTGAAGCTGGACCTTCAATAACAATTACATCGCTCACGAATTTTCTATCCTTTGCCATCAGTGCGTTCACTCCAACCCCAGCCATACAGGTCATTTTTCTAAATTTTCAAAACTTTTCAAAACTTCTACCACTGATAAAATAAAATTCGTTTGTTTGTTGCATATATGCAGTGCAAAAACGCACATTGTCATGGATTGTTGTGTGTGTGTGTATATGTTTGTACCGATTTTTCATCTCGAGATCCAGAAAAAGCTATGGGACTGAAATTTTGGCAACTTAATCCACGCGCATGTACGGACACCTTTTCTAAAAATGGACGCTCTTATCTTTGGTTTCTACGTACGGGCCCATGAAGATTTTTGGCGGGAAAGCTGCAAAGTCGAGTAAAACTAGGAAGCTGGAATTTTTAGGGGCTCCTCTCCGTCCACGTAGAATTTAATGACTTCAAAACCAGCTCCTAGATGAGCATGGTTTTCAAGTACGGTCTCGTGAAAAAATTTGACGGGTAAGCTGCTAACTTATGAAAGCCGAAATTTTAGGGGAATGTTTTTTAACAGTCCTGATGGCCAGTTTCAGCTCTTTTAGCTAAAAGCACCTTCCGAAAAAAAGTACTATTAGTGACAAAAATCTGTGGAGAACTGTACAAAAAAAAACGTCTTCGCGCCAAAAAATGCGTCTTCGCTAGCCGGTTATTTTGCTTCTGCAAATTTGATCGTCCATTGTAGAGGATGAGGAAAAAAATTTAATTATCGAAAAGCAACAGAGATAATTTTCACCACTGTTTTTTAGACCACTGCTAAATTAACATCTTTTTTCATAGCTGAGTCTGTTATACCATTTTGAATGTTAATTATGGAACTTCCAAGACCTACAAAATGAGTTTTTCCCGGGACGTAGTTCTTGGATATTTTTTAATAAAGATTTTAATTGGTAATATTTCAGAAATTAATTTAAGTCATAAAAAGTTATAAATTCAAACTCAATGTCAAAATAAAATAAAAGTCGAAACAAT